AAAACTGGTAAGCAAACTGTGGGGGAGATTTATAATCTGCATAGTCGGATAGATTATTTATGCTTTTTGGAATTATAATGTTTAAAGTGACTTCATTATAAATAGTTTTGTCATTGAATTATCAAACTATTAAAACTCATTCAAAGAAATCCATCTTGTATGTTCCACCCACTTAGGATTAAAAATGCTTATAACCTAAGTACTGATTTTACTCATTTTTAAATATTTAGGATTTTGTCATTGTATCACACTTTTAACAAGTTTTTAGAAATTTTGTGAGTTGGGGAAGATCCAGATTTCACTATATGGGCTCTTTGAGATAGATGTAACCATGGTGATTTTTTCAAAATTTCTCAATCATCAAATCATGTAGATTTTAATGGATATACATCTAAGTACCCAGAATTTGCCATTTTCTAAAATGTTGTTGCAACACTGTTCTAAAATGTATGTAAACTATATGACACAAACATTGACACATTCCAGGTTATTGCTATCGCATTTTTTGCAAGTCCCGTGACTCGTGCAAAAGTTTGCTCAGTGCCAAACAGTTTTTGTTGTCATCTTCCAATAAATTATTACAGCAAACAGGGAAAAGATGTATAATAATATGGTTGTTATGAGAGTATCGCAAAGTATGCACTCAGGTAGTACGGGATGCATCAACCTTTGCTACGTGTTGGTAAATACGTTCTCTGTATTGCATTTCTGCAGCCTTTTCGGTATTCTCTTGATGACCTCATAATATACATGTAGTTATATTTAATGCTCATAATTGTGTACTGTTTATGTGTAAGTTTTGAAAATATTATCAATATGGAATTTCCTGTCTAGGTTTTACCTCATCATTACATTCTTAAATTCTATATATTACATTCTAACATCACGCCAAAAACTAAAAGAATGCTTGCAACAGATACATGGCTAAGAAAAACTTTCTTTTGTCTTTCTCAGCAGTGAGAAGCACAACTAAAGTGCCACAATAGCTACTTTAAAGTAACAATGGGTTGAGATCTCTGAGCAAATGTTTTCTCTCAGCAGGTTTATTGACCTAAACACATGAGCTAATTCGATTGCAGTGTTTAAACATTTTCTGTTGAGATACATGTAAGAACTGTTTCTGAGACTTTGTTTAATTGCATACAACTAGATGGATTACACTATGGAGGAAGTCCTTGATGAGCAGAGAACACCTGAAAAGATTGTCACCATGTTGCGTGATGCTAGATGTTCTGATTGGCCGATCTCTATTGCCATGGAGTTTATTGAGATTGCAATCAAATGTACTAAACATGCTCCTAAGCACAGGCCAGAAGTTAAACAGGTATGTCATATCCTTCATGTTTTCTAGTCAAGTGAGGTAGGAGAGGAATTGGATGTGATCTATGTCTAATCCAAATGATGTGTGATTGTACGTGTCTCCCTGCAACTCTCATTTTTTCTCGCTTTTATAGTCTCTACGATATGGTATGTCAATTTATGACTCAACATTGCATTAACGTGAGCCATGGCTTACATACATTGGTAAACATAGGAAATGTTTTTTGGAGGATTTAATCTTATCCACAGAAATAACATGTTTGGTTCACACATGCACAAGGTGTACAATGTGATGTTTATTTATTTGCCAACCATGCTTACATGGATCTGCTACTAGTAATTTTACCATTAGTATTTAGAATTCTAGTGTATGATATTCACAATTTGTTTTTTTTCTAGGTTCTTCAAGAACTTGAGAAATTGGAACTTAAGGTGCAAAACATAAGGCAGAACAAGGCAGTAGTTAAATGTATGATTTTGTTCTCAATGTTTACCTTGTCTGTGATAACTGTGGAAATGAAATGAGTCGCACATATATTTTTAGATACACTGGAAAATGAAATCTGGGATGAGTCGCACAAGTATTTTTAGATACAGTTGACAAAATAATTCCATAGTGCTTGTTTTTTTTACGGCTGCTCATAATAACATTGATCTTTGTTCTCTTATGAAATTTGCGTTTAATCTGGGAATCACAACTCAGAATTGTCACTGATTTTAGCAACTGACCTTAGATGCAGAGGTCTTGTTGTGGAATATTTGACTTGTTTTTGCCCCTAAAATAATAGTATACCATTCTCTCTCCTCATAATGCCTCCCACGCTCTTAAAAACCATAATTACTTGGATCAGATGCAGAGACATACAATAATGGAAAACTCGGACATAATTTGAGGGGCAAAAATTAGTTTTTGTGGCTTTCTTACTTGCAACAAGATCTCAGTGGAATTTTGCATCTGAGGTGTATTTTAATTTTGAGTCTTGATATTATGAGTACCGGGTAATGTAGAAAGGGAAATATTCACTGGGTTAAATTTTAACAGAAGTGATGTTTCAGGGATATTGGAGCTTTTAAATTCACTGTTTTTTGAATGAAATCAATAATACATTGTTTATTAGTCCCCGTTCCGACGAAGTTCGAAAACGGGTACTTATAATTCGGTCTCCATCCGCCCGTTCGTCTGTGCATTCGTGCATCCGTCCGTACGTCTGTGCATCTGTGCATCAGAATCCCTTGGACCGATTTCGTTCATTCTTTGCATGTGCCTAGTACTTTATGTGGGACATATGCACATTCAGTGGTTTAGCGATTTGATTCAAAATGGCCGACTGGCAGCCATCTTGTTTTTTTGAAAATGTTGTATTTTGGACATGCTTTGTCAGTTTTCATTCAAACTTGGTACATAGATTAAACATGTTAGGATACATGTTCATGACGATTTATTTCACAATTGGATCAAAGATAGCCGACTGGCAGCCATCTTGTTTTTTGAAAATGTCGTATTTTGAACATGCTTTTTCAGTTTTCATTCAAATTTAGTACATAGATCATACATGTTAGGATACATGTCCCCGACCGTCCGCGAGTTCCTGAGTCTGTCCTCCCGTCTGTGTGTCTGTTTGTCCTTCAGTCTGTCCAAAGGTATATTTCAGAATCCTGTGGACCGATTCCGTTCATTCTTTGCATGTGCGTAGTACCTTATGTGGGACATATGCACATGCAGTGGTTTAGCAATTCGATTCAAAATGGCCGATTGGCAGCCATCTAGTTTTTTGAAAATGTTGTATTTTGGACATGCTTTGTCAGTTGTCTTTCAAACTTGGTACATAGATTATACATGTTAGAATACATGTCCATGACGATTTATTTCACAATTGGATCAAAGATAGTCGACTGGCAGGCATTTTGTTTTTGTTTTGTTCTTGGACGTGCTCTGTCAGTTTTCATTCAAATTTGGCACATACATGTACTTTATACATGTTAGGATGCATGTCCATGACAATTTGTTTTTAAATCTGGTCAAGGATGGCCGATTGACAGCCATCTGACTTTTTGGCCTTACTATATTTCCACAATTTATGTACCATTTTCATTCGTATTTGGCACATACATCAAACATATCAGTGTGTTTCATAATCAGATCAAAGATGGCCGAATAACGGAACACGTGTTTTGATGTAAATAAACAATCTGTTGTAGACGCCACTTGGAACTCAAGTTTCAAGGACACCCTCGCGACGACCCCTCCGCTTTAATATGACGAGCACAAAGAGAACTTAATTTAAAGGGGACTGTGTCATTTTTAATGACTTGTTTACTGGGTTTTAAATTGACTGTTTTGTGAGGGAAAAAATGCATTGTATGGTTACATCATGTGTCAAAATAAACTTTTCATGAAAATTGTTACCAATTACCCATGGGATATTTGAATTTTCGTATTAGGATTAGTGTTTGAGAGGCATTTTCTGCATAACCCTTAGGATCGATCCTCTTTTGAATTTATAGTTTGACTATTTCAATCATGTTACTGCATCTGAGCAAATATCAAACATAACATACTTCATAGGTTATTTGTGTTCACTATGCTTCCTAAGTAGAATCTGAACAGAAATGCCTGACAGGATTTATTGCAGTGAAGCAAAACAATAACCTAGTCAATAAACAGTACAGTATAACTGGTGCAGTAACTTTGGCCAAATTACTCAAAATTAAAAAGGGCTTTCAACTAAGTTTTGTCAACAATACAATGAACCAGACATTATATCACACAATTCCTTGGTGCAATTCCAGAAATTAACACTTGCCCATTTTTGGATGGTGACTAAATTTCAAAATTGGCAATAGCTGCTAGGACTTATCAATATAATATACAGACAATTGTAGTAGGTAATCATAGTCCCTTGTAACTATGAATAGAGTGAGAAACAGTCATGGGGTAAATTTTTTGTCAATTTTATTTCAGGTGCTGTTCAAAATACAGAACCCTATGAACTTGTTGATGAAAGACTACAAGTTGTATCAGTGGAACCAGAGAAGGAGGGCAATGTACAATTGAGCAAAGAACCAGAAGAATTAGATGATGATGATGAGAATAGAAAAGGTGAAGGAAAAGTTAATAAAAATATGGATAGTCAGAATGAGATAGAATCCAATGAAGAAAATATGCAACTTACTAGTGATGAAAGAGCTTTAAATAAACTCAGAGAGATTGAGAATTTTGACAAGTTGACGATAAAAGAGAAAACGGATGAAACAGAAGATGAGTCACGAGAGTCACTGGAAGAAATTAGTGCACGGAAGCACAGAGAGTTGGAGGATGAAATGGTTGCATTTGAGAACAGAAAACAGCAGAATGATAATGTTATTTCCAATGAAATAGAACCACAGTACATGTCTCTGGATCATGATCATCATCATCAGCATCAACAAAATCAGTTCCAAGACCAGCAAATCAGCAGCTGTCAGACAGGAGAACCACATGTGTGCCAGCCTCCATATCAACTTGACCATGGTAATCAACATCATTATGTTGCTCCTCCACCTGTTGAATCAAGTGCACATTCTATAGGTCCGATAATGGGTGATTCAGTACATACTCCAAATAGATTTCACCCAATGTCAGGCAGTTATGAGAGAAGAAACCCTCCTCCTGTAAGGTATGACCATCCCCATGGATACAACAATGTCAACTATACAGGGCATCCTATCTCTATGCCATACAGCTATGCTGATTATCGACATGCCCCACTCAATACTACTAGACAAGAAAGTTATCCATTCAACTACCCTGATTCAATTCCATACAGGCAATATCAATATGATGGCCCATACCTACGGCACCCACAATCACACCCTTCTATGTTCATAAACAGTGTGCCTCCACCAAATCCAAATTTACATTCTGCCTCAAACCATTATCCAGTTCGTGATCCTGATGACATTGAACCACGGAGAGACTTTATGTATTATCCCCAAAAGAAGCAGCATCCTTCTCAGAATGGTAGTCAACTTCAATTTTATAGCTTGGAGTCATACCCCCCTGCCCAACCCATGCATCACAATGTGTACCCTCCGCCTATGATGGAAGCTTGTGAATTCCCACCTAATAATGGGAATCCATCACTCAGCCCCCCACCAGATGGTAGTGACAGGTATCATGATGAACGTATTGCTTGGCAGCAGCAGCAAGCTTGGCACGCACAGCATGGGAGGAGTCCCCAACAGCAATATATGCAACAGGATTTGTACAGGGACGACGGGCCATCACAATATAGAGAAATGTCATTAAGATGGGCAGCCGGTCCACCTCCTTCTCAACCGTATGCTGCCCGTGATTACCAATCACAGAGAAGTACTGGGTCATCAGGCGAAGAATCAGATGTAAGTCGAGCTGTTCAACACCAACAACAACAAAAGTGACTGAATGTCCAAATGTAAATCTTGCCAAGCATTATGTTAAGCCCTCCACTGAACCTAATGTCATGTAATTTAACAAATCACTTCAGACGGAGGGAAACAATTTTGAAAAATATGATACAAATGCATGTACATCATGCAAATGCATCTTTTCAACATTTATTTTTAATAATTTTTTTATTGTAAACAGTAATAGTGTGAATTCCATTTCTCCATGAAAAAATAGTATAACATGATTTTTTTTTTAAATGTTTAATTAAGTAATATGTATGTATATTTAAATTAGGTCAGCATATATACATCTATTTAAGCATTAACTACAATTAATAGATATTACTTATTTTGATAAGTATTAAAAAAATTGAGCATATGTGCTTCTCATTACATACATATTATTTACATAGTTTTAGAATTTTATTTTCCATCTCTGTGCATTTTGTATTATTACTGGCATGACAATAGATATTTTTGTATAAGATAAAGGCAGAATACATTAGGAATCTTCCAGGAATTATTAAAATCGTGTTTTCAATTTTTCACAACAGTGTCTTGATGATACACTTTGCCCACAATCCTTTGCTGGAAAATCAAGATGGTGAACTACATAATACATTTTTTGTACTGACAAAAAGTGATAAAAGAAAACATGTAAATAGAAATTGTAGAGCTCTTTCATCTGGTAGCATTGTGTCCAGACATCCCCTTTAACATGCTTACGCGAAAGACAATGGTCTCCATCAAATTCCACAAAGCTCAAAGAGCTATGTCTGACTCAAATGTGCTTTCGGCCTTCAAACCAAGCTATGTCTTAAGGAAGTCTTTTCTGCTGAGCCAGCAGTACTCGTCTGGTTTTAAGTCCCCCATATAAGGTTTAGGTAATTTAGTCAACTGATTTGCTGTGCAAAACGCTTGTAATATGAGCCATTATTTATTTCTAGAAAACCAAAACATCTATGGCCAGACTTTTATTATCCCTTGTTTCGCGAACCCGTCGAATGTACAGGAGCCGAAAATGAAATAAAAACAAAATTTTATTTCAGCATAATTTCTCGTGCCCGCTGACTTGTAAGTGCAAAAAATTGCTAAAAAAAACTTAATTTTATCTTCATTTTTTTTTCGCCCGCCGCATAACAAATTCAAGTTGCATTTTCGTGGGAGTATCTTCTTTGAGAATCACACAAATCCCCCCCCCCGCCTCTTCAAAAAATGTTCCTTATAAAAACTATAGAAACAAGGAATAAAAAAAGTCTGGCCTAATACTCCAAATAAAGTAGATGGGTCATGTATACTGTGTCTGACTTTCTTGAAAATTTTAAATAAACTAATTTAAAAAATATTAGGGTTTCCATTATTATTAAAATACTTAGCCTAAACATAAAACGTTGGCCCATAAATGTTATTTTTAAAAAAGTAGATAGTTTCTGCCTGTGTGGAACATTTGAGTTGTAGAAAGTCGACAGTTATATCATTACAACATGTTTACATAAATGCCATGTTATATAATTGCCTCTATGAGGGTGTATATCATTGTATATCATTTTATTGGACTCTGAACCTCATAAATGCTATATTTCTGTACAAATTTTTTTACTTTTGCTGAATAAATTTGCAAAATACATCAGTTTTGACTGCCTGGCTGTTTTTATTTTTGATCTATTCTATTTAAATCCCCATTGTAAATGTATAATGAACCTAGAACACTCATCATTGTAGTCGGTGCTTACTGATGAGAGATTCAGAAAACATTCACTTGTCTCAGATCGAAAACCTGAGTGGTGCTGTGCTCCGAGCAGTGTGTCTATACAAAAAAACTATTTGCAGCATTCGATCAGGAAATGTGTAATACTTGCATATCCTGATTGTGGTGGAAGTGAGGGCGGATTGTTTAAGTGGTTCATGTCTATAAATCCTTATTAGCAACATAATTTATGACAGCATAAACTCTTCGACAGTTCGTCTGGCCTAATGTTTTTTTTCGACTGAAATGATTTAATGTGAAACGTTTGCAAAATGCCTTCGGAAATTCGCTGAGGATGGGTTGCACACTGATGAGGGTATGCCGCATTTATGGAATTTATTTTACGCCTTTGCAATCTATTCTCATCTAAGCCTGGTAGTCTGATTCTATCACAACTGGTAGTAGAATCTCCCAATTTCGGTAATGCTTGATGGACTATATTTTTCAGACTAGATTGACGTGTATAAAAAACTATATACGAAGTATTTGAAAAAAGGCATAAAATCTATATGTGTGATATATTTATCTAATGGTTTTTGTAGTTACCATACTGCAATATGTTTATTAGTATATGTTTATCTCGTATTGTCGATTGATCATTCTATTTCATGCGAGCTCAGAATTCTTGTATGTATCATTGACGAATAAATACCCGGCGACTTTGACTGTTGCGCAGACCACGGTTACTAAAAGACCAATGAATACTAACTTAGACGTTACCCCGGCCCCCACTCCCTATATTTAGGGGGGGCTATGCTTGTTCCCTCATTTTTTTGACTCCCGCTATCTAGGGAAAAGAAGAAAATTTAACCCCCCCGTTCACGGGCTTTTCCGATGAATTTCACCCCCTATCTAGGGAACTTTTCAGTCTAGAACTCCTTTTAAACCCCCCTTTTTTGTATATCTCGGGAAGTGTTTTGAAATACACCCCCTATTTTGAGAATCTCGGGAAAACAAGCAAAAAATACCCCCTTTTCTACGATTTTTTCGGGAAAATGTTCCCGAGACAGATCGTCAAAAAGTACCCTCTTTCCCGAGAAAATGGGAACGCGCATGCGGCCCCCTATGGATCCTGAGTGGGGGGGGGGGGCGGTGACGTTACCAAGTTTTTATGCATAAAAACATGTTGGTGATTGGAAGGTGTCGAAGGTGTCACCGGCGGTAATTAATGCACGTCGCGCCCTGATCAAAACTCGTACTTGTGATTTACTAGTATTTTAGAAGAGCGCATTGGATTATGGGAAAATCAATGTTTATTATCAACACTAATGTCGCACTTGCGCGGCGCGACTACCACCGTCCTTTAAGTCTATCTGACAGCCTCAGACCAGAGCCATTGGATTTACTGCAAAATCTGATCATTCCATGCCACAACAAGTCGATTTGTTGTGCTAGCTAATATGTATCAGGGAGCACCCTTCTTGGTGGGCACTCTTGTACACAGCCATCCGATTAAAGTGTTTCACCAGAGGGGACATTTTGCCCAGGACAATAAACGCTTAATCAGGATTCCCAATCTTAGTTATTGATTTGCCATTTGTAGAATTTGTGCATTAATATTCATAGACTTAGATCATAACATGGTGCGACAGAAAAATACTAACTCATCATATCACAACACAAGTCCAGCCTGAAAAGTAATTCTGTATTCCACTGTTGTATATATTCAGGAATTTCTACACCAAGTAGGAAATGAAATTTCATGCTAAAGTCACGACAATATTTACTGACCCAGTTCACTGGTTCTCCAACGTGTTTACTGTGTTCAAGTAATATGTGAAATTGAAATATTTAATCTTAACTTAACGTTGTTCACTGCATTTCGCAATACTGAATATATTGTCGACTGAGTGTCTATGTGACAACTTATGCCATGTTAATGATATGTGAATAATTATTTTAACTCTGTACACTAAATATCTGTATTTTGGCTGCATTCAAATATTAACGAATTCGATACTGCACGATTCTGACGAGATGACCGCTTGTACAGCGCCGCTATGCGATGAGACACATAACATATCGTCTATAGCGCCACTAGGCGACGGGATTAACACATAAGGTGACCACAGATTGATACACAGATGGCAAATAAACAGCAATAACAGTACAGAGCTCACAATATTATATTTATAACCTACATCCCACAAACAGCATTGAAGTATACAGAGAGTGACATTCGTTCAATATCCCATTCTCTCATAAATTATTATGTGTTCATGCTTTTTATCTAAGTTTAGTTCATTATTTATATTACTGGTAGCATTTTCAAAGAATGGTAAACTTGTGAGCCTAAAAACATATGTGGTGATATACCAAATATTACGTATCTAATGACAAATAAATATATTTATAAAATATATGAAATAAAAAAAAATACATGTCGTGCAATACATCTCATTGTACGCAGTTATAAGAGTACTGAACTCATAACAATATACTCATAGTATTCGTTCATACCTTGTGTCAATAAAACAAAATTTGTTTAATTCGAACTTTAAATGTGTCGTCTCAATTACTAGTACATAGAGGATTAATCCGAGATTCAGTATTAATGTATACAGCGAATTTTGCAATGTCCCATTTTTGTCAGGTGTTTATGATTGTCATGGTTGTTTTTTGACCTTGTACTAAATAACGTAAATATCCACTAATACATGTCAAAAATTACTGTAGAATCTTAAACCGAAATTAGATCTCAGGCTATATGTTATGCAAGTATATATATAAAAAAATGAACATCAGATCAGCGAAAATATGAAATCTGATTTTCCTGCTTCGTTGGGAAAAAGACTTCAACCATATATATATATATATATATATATTTCAAAGAAAAAAAATAAGGAGCGTGCACGTGATGTCCCTCTTCGCGCATGGCGTGTAGAGTTTAGACATTCGAGGTATACATCATGCATGCGACATTTGTTTGCTGAATCGAAGATGGAGGTGTTCATTTCAAGTTATATTTCGACACGATTGAATTAATTATATGCAACGCGCTTCACTATTCAACACTTTAAAAAATCGTCATTGTGCACATTTAATATATGAAATCAATCACTTGCAAATGTCATTCAAATCGCTTAAAGTACGCTCTTTTTTGCGAATGAAATATCTCTAACGCTTTTTCATATATTTTTATGTCATAGTACAAAGCATAATAAACTTCAGAATCTTGTTGTAACTGACTTTTGAGTTTTTTAACAAGATCGTAATGTGCTAGTTTCTTTTTACTATCCGTTACGCCCATTGTAGCAGATTCGACACGAAGTCCTTTACAAAGATCATAGAAGGGCAAATTGAATGCAGTTTGTAGGAGTTTTAAAGACATGTCGTATTCCTCAGTGAGGGAGATTAC